GATCGCCAGGCAAGGATTGGGAACTCGGTGGTTTCTTCGATTCAATGGAATAGCAGGGAGCAAGAGAGAGAAAGACAGAGAACAGATGATGAGAGAAGAGAATGAAGAGAGAGGGAAGTCGAGCTTTTACGATGATTACTCGACGTCGCGGCTGCGTCCGTGCGCGTATTGCATCGGAAATGATTTCGCGCCCAATTAAACCATGGGAAATTCAACCCTCTCTCGACAGTAGCACCATGATGAGGAAGCCTTCCTGGTACCCTATCTTCCGCGCATTTGTTACCCTTACTATGCGCTGGGATTCCCGCTCCCCTCCTTCTCGCTTTTTCCTTCTCATTGTCAGTACAGGTTGAATCAAATTTACTCGTTAATTATTTGGCGGTTAATTTTCGTCGTGACATGTATCGTGTGTGCAACCGAAACACCGAAATAACCATTAACGACTTGTAGAACTGGGCTAATTAATTGTAATTAAATGTCGGACCATGCGCACGTCAAGATACAAATCATGCAACTCGAGTATACAGCATAATACAGGTCACTTGTAATTAACGAGAGATAGAATGTTGCATTCCATTTGTATGTGAGTGTGTATGTGTGTGTACGTATGCATATGTATATATATGATGTTGCATTTTTGGAAGATTATTTTCAGACTGCATTTTCGGAATATATATTCTCACAAATATTTCTAGAATAACTTGCCTCTTGGAAGATATTTTTAGACTGCCAGAGAATATAATTAAAAAACATTTTCACTTTAAATATACTCTATAATTCTAGAATTATTTTTCCATTCCTATTCCAAGAAACATTTGTTTCAAATATATACTTATTTTATTACATATCGTTCTTTCTCTCTCTTTCTCTCTTTCTCTTTTATAATATTTATCGATGTCGAAAGAAAAAAATATAAATAATAAATATAAATAAAAATGTAAATAATAAGTAATAATCGTCTCATTCTCTAATTTAGTTTTCAATGACAAGTTTTGCCGTCTTTACATTCAAATGTCATATCAGCATTTCTAATTGATACAAGTTCATTGAATTCTAATTAAATTGACAGTATAGAATGCTCGAATTCTATAGTCTCTGCGATAAATTCATAACTGCAATGTCAGTCTGGTTTTAGCAACGATGAATATAGATATAACTTTGAATAAAAGTTACGTTCTCTCGTTGCGTCGCGAGTAATTATTTTCAACATTTGACATATAACAATCTCGGCAGAGAGCAAGAGCCAATGTACGCGAGACGGGAAAAACTTTGTGGTGTTCCAATTAGTAACAATACCGAAACAAATGTTAAAACATTGTTGGTTGACGACAGAAACAACAGAGAATAGAAAAAGAAGAGAAGAGAAGAGAGAATTTTTAGAAAGAAAGAAAAAATGTATTGTATTTTAAAATTTATTGTATTTTGTAGGATCATAATTTATATAAATATGCAAAAATATTATATTAAAATATAATTAAGTTAAAATGTCAAAACAAGTGATAAATATATTTAAAAATTTAAAGAAAATTAATTAATTTAAAAAAAATTAATTATACTGATGCAAATAACAGGAAGTAGAATTTTAAAATCCATATTTATTTTACTACTAGAAATATAAATAATAGAAATTATCTCTCACAAATAATTAAATTTTTAAATTTTTCTTATTTGCACCAGTAATAAATTTTATTATCACATATATCATATGCATGTATATAATTATAATGTATACATGTATACATATAATATATGTAATTATATCAAACTTCAAATGAAATTATAAAGATAAATATAGTTGCAATTAAATACTAGTTACCCCAGGATTTCAAAAACTGAAATTAGAGAGTGATAGATGAAAAACGAAATAGAAAGAGACGGAAAATGACAACGGATCAATTGTATAAATCGACATGCAAAGGGCAGAAATAAAGAGAGAGAAAGAGAGACTTGTACGCGATGGTTGTTCGCGCTGTAACTAACAACATGGATCGCGATGGAGTTCATTTCGAGCACCGATGTGGAGCAGCGATGTATGAAAGCGAGTACCGTACGCAACGAACAATACGTGAGTCGATATCGGTCGCAGATGGACTTGTAAAAGGGGCTCTCGTAAAAGGTCAAGAGAGAGAGTCAGCAACGATAGCTCGACTCGTGACGTTTATTAGCGTGGTTAATCGAAAAGGAGAGAGATGAGTTTGTTTTGGTCACGATATCGAGACATATTCACGCACTCATAAATACGATTTTTCTCGTTAAAAATTAACCCTCGGCATACTTGGGGGTCGAAAGGACGACGACGACGACGATAGCGAACGGGTTAAGTGACTCGACTACCCGAGCTTGTTAATTATCGACGAGGAGATTCGCGAGAAGCCCACCCTACTATGCCCTTGGTGATGGCAAAGCTCTGTGCATCCCCCTAATCACCCTTCCTTTTTCCGACCCTCCGGGCCCCCTTGTATCCGACGCGTTTCATCTCCCCCATCGAGTCGGTGAAAAGAGGCGGCCGATCGTCTCAAGATGGTTACGGGCGCGTAAGAAGAAATGATTTTACAAAATTTGTATAATAGAAGTTAGTGTCAAAATATAGATTCTTCAAGTCAAATAATCTTGGCAATCATTGATCGAGATTAACAGACTGATTATAATAACATTGTATTTCACTTCATGATAATATTACATTTTAAAATAAAATCTAAAATATTTGCTCGACATATCTCTCGATATTTTCTGGAATGGAAAATATTAAATCCATAATAATTTAATATCGCGACTTATTTATGAAATGTAATGAAAACATTACAAATATTTTATTAAAATTAAATGATTGAATTATCTTTCTTCCTCGGTTTTTTTTAATTTTCCTCTTTTTTTGCCAAATTAAGCAGCAATTTAAGTTATAATTTATATATTTAATAGTTGATATATATGATATGTATAATTCTTGTAAATATTTTATTAAACATTTTAAATATACTTTAGAATAAAATCCAGAATATATAATATTTTATAAACATTATTTTATATTATATTGTACAATGATATAAAATAAATTACTATCGCAAAGATAAACGAGCAATTATTTTTAAAGGTAAATTAAATAAATTATAAATGACATACCACACAATTATTCCACCGTAGCCCGATGCTTTCCTGGCCCTGCTGCTCCTCCTCTCCTCTTGTTTGTTGCTCCTTCATGACACTCACACTCACTCGCGAAAAAATAATTAATTACGATCGCGCATATACTAAAATAAAATAAAATACGACGATCATGCGATATTTTTTACGGCACTTCCGACATTTTTTAATTGCACGTGACATATATTTTACTATAATTGCATGTGACGTATATTTGATTACATTTTCGGAAGAACAATTCGAAAATTATATATAATTCGCTCAACATTATATAATTAATAACGATTGTAATTAATAATTACAAACACAATATTATAAAAGCAAAGATTTAAACGCAAGATGTAAATGTTAAACGGTATCAATGATTTTGATCTAATATTGTATGATACAATGCGTGTCGAATTAATTATTAATTAAGATGCGTTGGATTATTCGAAAATACACAACCGAAACTCGATATATATGATATATTTCCGTATATACATAAATTGCGCGAAATGAAGATATTATAAATGAAATATAATTTAATTATATAAATAATAAGAGTTTTCCATTATTTAAATTATTCGATGTATCACTTCGTGCTTTTGATTCGATATGAATGTGAGCGAATTATATTTCAATCGAAATGTATTCAATTATATATTTTTGAAAAGGGAAAATTTTAAATAGAGATATTTTCGAAATATTAAAGAAATAATTATCGTTAAATTCGAAATATACAACAATTAAAATTTTCTATCGACATATTTACAAACACGATTAATCACGTTAATTGATAATCTCTAATTGTGCTGATTTTAACGAACAATCGCACCTGGCATCTCTTAATAATATTCGTATTCAGAGAGTTATTGAAACGATGTTTCACGCGCGAGACTCACCGCACGAATAACACGGTCATGATAAGACGCAAACAATAGCGTGCTACGTCACAGATGTTTCTACACGTTGTTCTTCTGTCTTTCTCTTTGGAATGTTGTTTTTATATAGAATGGTAGAGCGACTCCCCCTCCCCCGAATCGCTACGTATGTATATCGTAAAATTTCAGTATCTTCACAATATTCGGAGATGCCAAATATAACAGTTTCTTCAAATTAGTATAATTAACGATTAATTATAATATAACGATTAATATAATTAACGATCAATTCGAGTAATTGAACGAAATATAACTCTCCATTGTAAACGCGTATCGACAGAGAGAATTTATTTCGTTATTACAAAATATTTTTACTGCAAAATAAGGTTAGGAATTCTATTCTTTCAATCAATTAACCTAAATTCAATTAATCTAATCTAACGGTTATATAATTATGGTTTTTCAATATTTGATTTACTCGAATATTATTATATATGCTTTTAATTCGAAAATAACAAACGATGTTTAAGTCAGTGAATAATATAAAACTTTGGTAAATAGCGATAATCATTGTCATACGAGTCTCTCATCGAGAATTAATCAATCACACGAATCGTTAATTGTACAATGAAATAATCGTTTTTCAAAGTATAACGCGACGAATCGAAGTCGGAGAATTATAAATTACATTATGGTGATAATTATTTCTTTATATATACCTGGAGAGTCAAGTATAGTTTTCAATTCCACTGATTAACGTTTTAAATATATCGCAGAATCGATCTCAAAGTAACCGCCAGTCACACACGTCGCACTGATACATCGTTGATTAATGATTAATATAACACATTGAAAGAATATAATATTTCGCAGCACATCTATTTTATAGCGCGTGAAATATTCGTCGCGGTAACGAACTGAATGACGCTGGTATGTGACCTTCGACGCGTACCCCCCCAGGGCACGCGTGACGTATCACATATTTGTGCGCGCGTGTTGTGACGTAGCTATATTCATTTTCGTCGCGGAACTCGAGCGCGAAGGAGGTAACGCGAGTCTTTCCGCGTATCGTGAATTACTTTTTGAAGAATGAAATTGTACCTTTATCTCGTACCTTTCGCAATTATCGGTAAACTCTCTTTATCAGTTGAAGTATAGTGTGTGCCGATAATCATGATATCGAGAGAATAATATGCGTATCAGTGAACGGATAGGGTAGGTTAGGTTAGAATAGGTGAGCCGGTATTTGCGTATCGTAATATAAAATTTGCGTATTGTAATCCGTTCAAATGCACACTTCGCAAGACTTATTTGACTGAAGTCTGTTGTGAGAAAACAAATCCAATCATATATTTGAATATTAGACTGTTCGCGAGGATATTTTTAACTAATATACTTTTCATTCGTATATATAATACGCGTTACGATGCAAGATAGAATTGTTTCAAAGTGCAAACGTATGTTGTTTATTAAAAACAGAGGCAATATTTCCGCGGAATATATTCGATCACATTCGGTCGTGTAAATTTAGGCAGTTAATTCATCATAATATAATAAAATACGCGTTTTATAATCGGGAGTGTCGTACAAATATCGCGCGAATTAACCGTTTTCGTGAGTGATATTGTGTAAGTGCCACAACACAAGGATGAACGAGGAGGAAGAAGAGAAGGAGGAGAAGGAGGAGGAGGTCCAGGAATGCATCGGACACCGAGAATCGAAGGCAATGATAGACAACCATAAGGTAAGTAATTTAAAATTGATTTTATTTGTTATTTGTATCATTAATAAGTTTGCGTTTATACTCTTATAATATTTATAAGATTGAATTTTATTTTGGAATATATTTGAGAAATTATTAAATGTAGGAGTCAGCTGAATTTTATTTTGGAATATATTTGAGAAATTATTAAATGTAAGAGTCAGCTGAATTTTATTTTGGGATATATTTGAAAAATTATTACATGTAGGAGTCAGCTGACAGATTTTTAAATATATATTACATATGTGTTTAAATGAGTTGAAACGCATATGTAATTTATTAAAGAAAATTCTCTTAAGAAAAAAAAAGGACGATGGATTTCAGATTTTATTTTGGAATATATTTGAGAAATTATTAAATGTAGGAGTCAGCTGAATTTTATTTTGGGATATATTTGAAAAATTATTACATGTAGGAGTCAGCTGACAGATTTTTAAATATATATTACATATGTGTTTAAATGAGTTGAAACGCATATTTATTAAAGAGAATTCTCTTAAGAAAAAAAGGACGATGGATTTCAGATTTTATTTTGGAATATATTTGAGAAATTATTAAATGTAGGAGTCAGCTGATTTTTAAATATATATTACATATGTGTTTAAATAAGTTTAAACGCAGATTTATTAAAGAGAATTCTCTTAAGAAAAAAAAGACGATGGATTTCAGATTTTATTTTGGAATATATTTGAGAAATTATTGAATGTAGGAGTCAGCTGATAGATTTTTAAAATATATATCAATTAAATATATATATTTTTTAAATATATATCTTATATGTATATGTTTAAATAAGCTTAAACGCATATCTATTAAAGAGAATTCTCTTAAAAAAAAAAAGGACGATGGATTTCAGATTTTCAATAGATGGTTGTAATCAATATTGCGAAACTTTCGATAAGTGTCGAAGCGGTATTTTAATTTTATGCGACATAAAACTAGAAAGTTTGTTCTTGATAAAATGTAACTCGTCTATGGAAGAGAGAGATGGAGAGAGAAAGAGTTTATATCGAATCATGGATGAACATAGTAGATATTCAATTAAAAAACTTTTAAAACAGCGCGAAAGAAAAAGTAACGAGTTAAAATCTCCGTATTGAATTTAAACGATACAAAATTAAACAGTCTTACGAGATTATAATTTCACTTTCGTTTCGCTTTTCAACAAACGCGTTGCATTATTTAATACATGGTGGACCGGAAAAATGCGAGATTTATATTATTTCTATTATCACATTTCATTTTTAAAAGTATCATCTCATTTTATTTAATATCTTGAAAATCTAGAGATATATTTTTTCTGTATTGTTTTCTAATTAATTTGTTTTTTTATCGATTGTTCATTATTTAATATGCACTATTCTATTTAAATCAATACTATAAGGAAGTGATGTAGCACAGATTTAAGTGTCTTTGTATCATGATATATAAATAAATTTCATAAAGAATTAAAATTTTTCAAGGAAATTTAAAGATAAATAAATAGATGTTAAATTTTTCAATCAATTTTTGGCATTATTTTTGTATCGATTGTTATTTAATATACATTACTTTCTTCTGTGCAACATATCATGACGAAATATGTTATATATCACTGATTAAAAAATTTTCATATCGAGATATGTATTATTGCAAAAATTCATCTATAAAATTCTATATTTTTTTCATATTTTCTAAAATTCTATACTTTTTAAAAATTTATCTTCAAAATTTCATACTTTAATAAAAGATTTTCATCTTAATTCCCCATCTTTATAAATTTTATAAATTAATATAATTTTAAATTATATAATTTAATCTTTACAAATTTTTATAAAAATATAGAATTCTAAAAATATGGAAACAATATAGAATTTTAAAAACTTTACAATAATATGGAATTGTGTGAGATTAAAATCTTTTACGAAGAGATACGGAATTGTGAAGATTTAATAATACCGATCGCGCGCGGTAAAGTTACCTGTTAAAAGAAACCGACCACAATCGTCTCGTCTTCGATGTCGCGGCGCATCCAGACATCATCGGATGCGACTCTGGGGCGCCGACAGACAGTCGTCGGTCGTCTCGCTGCATTCGGTCACAATAGCTTTAACTAATAGTTAACGAGCATGCCGCAAACGCGCCGTGCACACGACGCAGTTAAGGAAGACACGTACGCGAGCAGTCCTTACATGCGGAACGTGCCACAAGCCGAAACTCGGGCAGCGAAGATTCCGAGATGACAACATCCGGGGGTGAATAACGTCGTGACGACGACGACGACGACGTCGACGCCGAGAAGTTTTTGACTCTCCACCAGCCATGCCCTGAACCTTGTGTATAACTCGATTTTCTGCCAGTCTCGTTTCGAGAAATCGTAACTCGGGAATTTAGGACGACGACTTTTCGACGATTGTCGATGTCGCGGATTTTTCAGCGACGATTTTACGCCCGGTAGAATTTCTCTAAGTTTCCAAAGCTCGACGCTTGTGCGAAAAACCAATATGATTTTTATTCATGATAAATAATAAATTTATAAATTTTTTATTCATATAATAAATAAGATATATATTATATAAAATAGTTTATATAAATAATATATAATATATAATAATAAATTATGATACAAATTTATAATAATGTATTTATATATTTTTTATATAATATTTATCATTTTAATTGTTATAGATTCAAAATTAAAGAAAATTAATTTACAAAATGAAAATAATATTTGTATCATGATATATATAGAATATAATTTTTTTTACGAAATTGGATCGTGATAAAAAGTTCACATTAGAGCATATAATTATTTATGATACAATTGCTATTTTCTGAGTAATCGTATAAATTATCTACAAAATGTTTCATAAATTAAAAATATAAAATTGAAAGAGAGAAACCGATCTCATGCGCTACGGATATGTGAAATAATTGGAACAGAAAGGAATTATTAATTAATGTATCCAATATGTCCCATATACGTCACTGAACGCGTAATTCATTCATCATACGATGCAGCTCGCTACAATCGTCTTTGTTTTGTCACGAAGGCTTAATGGCACAGTCGTGTATACTTCAGCACGTTTCCAATAATTTCGCGTCGCAAACAATACGATGAGAAATTATTCGCGGCGGAATATCTTCGATACTCTGTACAATGTAGCATGATCGGCACGGTAATTGAAGCGATAGTTATTGTGAATTAACATCTATATATCGAGCGACTTGAATTGATCATAATATTGCTGTTCTACTTTTTCCCTCGTTGCATTTTATTTTTCTACCTCGCGATCACATTATCGTAAGAGCCATTTCATTACAAAGTAAATAAATTTTGCTCTTCAAAGATAATGTTTGCATCGAATGTCTATATATTGGATGAAAAATGTTTTCAGTAAAAATGTAATGAGGAACATAACAAGAGAGATGTTGAAAAGTTTTGTACTCTTTTCTATAACGCATATATGACTAAAGTTTCAAGCGTTATCGAATATTGTAAACGTGTTGACTTTGTGCGCTTTTATTTACTGTTTCTTATTTTTATAAAACAAGGTACGGAAAAAATTATTTCAAGCTTCAAAAATAAGCAAAGTTGCGAAGGAATTTAAAATTTCATTCAGTTTTTGCTCTTGTGATGATTTAATAAAGGGATAATAAAGGGATTTTTGACGTCGCGATACGATTCGGGGACTTAAAAAAAAATGAAAATACCGTCGTACTCCTCGTAACGTGCATTGTGCGTCGGATAGAACTCCGTGGTTATTATTTTTCATCCGTTTCCACCAGCAGGCGCTAAATTGAGCGCCACGTTTATGTAAATTTTCACGCCCGGAAATCTCGGCCGCGCGCGCGCGCGATACCTCACTAAAGAGAAAACATCCCTCCTAAAAGTTTAAAGCGGCACATCGTGCCACACGCGTCGTGACAGTTTCTTGATATTTCCCTCTTTATTCTTTCTCTCTGATCCTCGCTCTCTCTGATCCTCGACAAGGAAATTCGTCGATCTTGCGATTTAACCGCGAATGCAACAATTATTCGATCTCGAGTTTTCGCGTGGAAGTTAAAAATACGCCGAGTCCCTTACACTTGCATTGTATTTGTCTACGAAATTATGCATATATTTTGCAATTTGCTGAAGTGCTCGCTCTGAAATTGCACCGTTTGCAATTGCGAAAAACGTAGCTCGAACGCGCAGAAATAATCCAATATTTATGCTGTCGAATAGAAACAATTATTTATATTATAGTTGCGTAAAAATATTCATTTTTTTCATTAAAAAAAATACAAAACAGCGAAAAGCGGATATTTGTTTGATGACGCAATATACGTATTGAAAATATGAATTTCCATGATTTTATACTTTTCAACGATATATTGAGCGTATTTATAATAATTGTCCGAGAAAGATAAAGCAATTAATAAAAATATAGTATAAATTATTGTAAAGAACAAAAGTCGGGAAAAGCGACACGGTATGTGGAAAAATAACGGTCTTTCTCTATACAAATCGTTGGTGCGGGTATTCTTATACTAAGCGCGAGAGCAAACTCTCAGCTTCCTTTGATCCCATAGGATCTATTGCGGGCTCCTTTAAATAAGGAAAGAAGAAACGTAGATACGAGTGGTAAAAAAAAGGGTCAGCTCTCTCGGATTTTACCTCTAGCCGAGGAAAATACGGCCGCCAGGCCGTTTATCGTCGCCTCTTTCAGCGACGCTTTCGTTAAGTGTCGTCTACGACGCTTGGAGGTCGCTGGACCGGCATAGTCGGCGTAAAGATCACAAAGAAATTCCTTTTTTCGTACTAGTACGTTTTTCATATCGTCCTGATATGGTCGGAAGACACCCTCGAAAATTTGTTTATCTATCTGTTCGTCCAGAGAAATAAATTATCAACTTGTGCGAGTAACACACATTTCGAGGGAAAGTATAAGAGATGCACTGCTACTTTCATTTTCGAAAAAAAAGAATAGAAATGTAATTTAAATTTAATAATAAAATAC